GTTAGGGGGCTAGGAGGGAGGTGGAATAGGGACAGTACATTTTCAACAAAAATTTTTTTAAAAGAAATGGGGGCTACCTTCCACAGGTGCTGATGTATGGACAGCCGTATCGTGTTACCTTAGAGCTTGAGCTGCCGGAGTCCCCTGTGAATCAAGATTTGGGCATGTTCTTGGTCACCATTTCCTGCTACACCAGAGGTGGCCGAATCATCTCCACTTCTTCGCGTTCGGTAAGTGTTTGTGGCCTGTCTGAGAAGGTGTGGAGGAAGATAGCAGGATCAGAATGGGTAGGGGGCTGGATGCGATGGCTCATGCCTGTAATCCTAGCAGTTTGGGAGGCCGAGGCAGGCAGATGGCTTGAGCCCAAGAGTGCAAGACCAGCCTGAGAAACATGGCGAAACCCATCTCTACAAAAAACGTTTAAAAAATTAACTGGGCATGGTGGCACACGACTGTAGTCCCAGCTACTCTAGAGGCTGAGGTGGGAGGATCGCTTGAACCTGGGAGGTTGAGTCTGCAGTGAGCCGAGATTGCACCACTGTTCTCCCTGCTGGGCAACAGAGCAAGACCGTCTCAAAAAAAAAAAAAAAGAATGTCTGGGTAGGGATTCCACAGGAGAAAACACCCTTGGCTTTGAGGTCACAGACACATCAGGATAAAGAAAGGAATCAAGGCCGGGCGCAGTGGCTCATGCCTGTAATCCCAACACTTTGGGAGGCCGAGGCGGGTAGATCACCTGAGGACCAGAATTTGAGACCAGCCTGACCAACACGGAGAAACCCCATCTCTACTTAAAACACAAAATTAGTTGGGTGCATGCCTGTAATCCCAGCTACTCAGGAAGCTGAGGCAGGAGAATTGCTTGAACCCGGAGGCAGAGGTTGCGGTGAGCTGAGATCGCACCACTGTATTCCAGCCTGGGCAACAAGAGCAAAACTTTGTCTTTAAAAAAAAAAAGAAAAGAAAAGAAAAGGAATCAGCTTACCAAACCAGAAACCTTTGCCAGACACCCCAGGTATCTCATGAGCACACCCAGCTTTGGGGTTAAGTTTGAAGAGTGGAGCTGCTCTCAGAAAACAGACTTTAGAGCCAGACAGACATGGGTTTGTGTCCTCATTCAGAAACAAGCTAGCTCTGGGTCACCTGACTTAACTTCTTAGGGATAAAGTATTATAAAATGGGTATAATAGTAACTGCCTCATAGCAAGACTAGTTTGGATTCAATGGGGAAATGTAAAATTCCTATTAGCGCATAGTGGCTGTTTAATGTTTGTTTTGTTTTTGAGGCGGAGTCTCGCTCTGTCGCCCAGGCTGGAGGGCAGTGATGTGATCTCGGCTCATTGCAGCCTTCACCTGCTGGGTTCAAGCGATTCTCCTGCCTCAGCCTCCCAAGTAGCTGGGACTACAGGTGCCCACCACCACACCTGGCTAATTTTTGTATTTTTAGTAGAGGTGGGGTTTCACCATGTTGACCAAGCTGGTCTCAAACTCCTGGTCTCAAATGATTCAACCACCTCAGCCTCCCAAAGTGCTGCAATTACAGGTGTGAGCCGTCGCACCTGGCCTAATAAATGTTAAGACTCCATTCTTCCATTAATTAACAACACAACCTCATCATGAAGCAAACTCCTGACATCTACATGGGGGAAAAAAGCTTCAGATGGTGCACTGGGACTTAGATCCCATACTGGATTACAGAACTACTTGGTGGGAAAGGCAGATCAGAGACAGTGTTGGGCTTAATCCAGGAAGGTTTCTTGGAAGGAGGGGCCTTTGCTCTATAATAGAGTGTGGTTGGGTAGGGGGAGAGGTTCAAGCAATTGGAATGGTTGGATGAAGACTGAGGGGTAGGAAGTGAAGGTGAGGGAGCCGGGGACCTGAGGAAGAAGCCACCTTCATAGACTACTCAGGGATGGTTGAGGGGTAGATAGGGTCATGGGGATCTGGTGCACCTGTTCCCAGCCTCTGCTTCCCACCCCCGGCAGGTGATGCTGCATTACCGCTCAGACCTGCTCCAGATGCTGGACACACTGGTCTTCTCTAGCCTCCTGCTGTTTGGCTTTGCAGAGCAGAAGCAGCTGCTGGAGGTGGAACTCTACGCAGACTATAGAGAGAACTCGGTGAGTGAGGTGAATGATGACTAGGAGATAGCCCCTCCCATTAGCCCAGGATTCTGCCTGAGGAGCCTCCAGGCTCAGGAGACATCACAACTGAGAGGCTGGAAGTGAGGCTTAGATGGGGAGGGTAAGAGTGCCAGCGGCAGGGCCCTGGCCTGACGCCGCCCTCACCCCCCCCCCTCGCAGTATGTGCCAACCACTGGAGCGATCATTGAGATCCACAGCAAGCGCATCCAGCTGTATGGAGCCTACCTTCGCATCCACGCGCACTTCACTGGGCTCAGGTGAGGGGCCAACTGGAGTGGACCTTGGGCAACTCTCATGAGGGCTAACCTTCCACCAAGGGGGTCCCAAGCAGAAGTAATGGGTTCACAGAGCAGAGCTGAGTTGGGTTTCACATAGGCCAGAGGGTCTCAAAGCTGCTGTATACTGGCCTATCAGCTCCTTGGGGAACGCTCCTTGGGAACTTTTTTTTTTTTTTGAGACAGAGTCTCGCTGTGTCACCCAGGCTGGAGTGCAGTGGCGCGATCTTGGCTCACTGCAAGCTCCGCCTCCTGGGTTTACGCCATTCTCCTGCCTCAGCCTCCGAGTAGCTGGGACTACAGGCGCCCGCCACCACACCTGGCTAGTTTTTTGTATTTTTAGTAGAGACAGGGTTTCACCATGTTAGCCAGGATGGTCTCGATCTCCTGACCTCGTGATCCACCCGCCTCGGCCTCCCAAAGTGCTGGGATTACAGGCTTGAGCCACTGCGCCCGGCCATGGGAACTTTTTAAAAACACCCTTGGGCACCCCACCCAGACCAGCTGAACCAGGATTTGTTAAGGTCTTGTCTAGGCATCAGAATTTTACATTTTTGTTTTTTACCCCTGCCACCCTCCATCATCCGTTTTCATCTTCCCTCTGCCCTGAAATCCAGGGCTGAGGGCTCCACCCAAGTGAGCAGATTTATTTTATTTATTTATTTATTTATTTATTTATTTATTTATTTTTGAGAGGGAGTCTTGCTCTGTTGCTCAGGCTGGAGTGCAGTGGCGCGATCTCGGCTTACCGTAAGCTCCACCTCTCGGGTTCACGCCATTCTCCTGCCTCAGCCTCCCGAGTGGCTAGGACTACAAGCACCCCCCTCCACACCTGGCTCATTTTTTTTTTTGTATTTTTAGTAGAGATGGAGTTTCACCATGTTAGCCAGGATGGTCTCCATCTCCTGACCTTGTGATCCGCCTGCCTCAGCCTCCCAAAGTGCTGGGATTGTAGGCGTGAGCCACCATGTCCAGCCTGTGAGCAGAATTTTTTAAAGCACCCCAAGGAAGGCTGATGGGCTGACAGAGTTAAGAGCTACTGTCTTGAACTGTTGACTCAGCAAGAGTTGGGGTGACTCTTGAGAGACGGACAACATTGAGGCTGTGGCCTATGGCCCTCCCACAGGAGACTTCCCAAGGTCCTTGGCCTTTGCTGGAACCTGGTACAGCAGGTTCTGGGAACTGTGCGGGTGGGAGGCAGGGGCAGCAGAGCCGGCTGTAGCCAAACTCACTTGAATTGCCCTAGAAATTATTTCTGGGACATGAGAAGGCCAGTGCTCTCTGGTAACTGCTACTCCCTTCTTGTCCCTACTTCCTGCCTCAGATACCTGCTGTACAACTTCCCGATGACCTGTGCCTTCATAGGTGTCGCCAGCAACTTCACCTTCCTCAGCGTCATCGTGCTCTTCAGCTACATGCAGTGGGTGTGGGGGGGCATCTGGCCCCGACACCGCTTCTCTTTGCAGGTGGAAAGGAGCAAGGACCCCCTTTTGTCCCTTTGATCTTTGTGGGTGGTCAGGGGTATGTTGGGGGTTAGAGTGTAAGGGCCCTGATTGTTAGTGAGGGAAGTCAGTCCCTGCTGCTCAGTGGTTTTTACTCCACAGGTTAACATCCGAAAAAGAGACAATTCCCGGAAGGAAGTCCAACGAAGGATCTCGGCTCATCAGCCAGGTAAAGGTGTTGGTTGGGGAGCTGTTGAGGTGGGCTAGGTTGAGCTGGCCTGGACCAGAGGGAGTCCCTGCTTCATCCAGTATGAGGCTTAGGGTATCACTGACTGAGACAAGGGTCAAAGGAAAAGTGAGGAAGGTGAGGTTGACACTGCCATCCAGGCACAGCTACCCTAACCCTAACCTGTCCTCTCCTGCTTTTGAGGCACAGGGCCTGAAGGCCAGGAGGAGTCAACTCCACAATCAGATGTTACAGAGGATGGTGAGAGCCCTGAAGATCCCTCGGGGACAGGTATGGCGCAGCCGCCACACACTCTCCTTCCTGACTCCTTGGCTTTCTCCTTGAGTGTCTGGGTCTGACCCCTGTGTTCCCCTTTTGGCTGCAGAGGGTCAGCTGTCTGAGGAGGAGAAACCAGATCAGCAGCCCCTGAACGGAGAAGAGGAGCTAGAGCCTGAGGCCAGTGATGGTGAGGGGCATCCTGCAGCGTGTCCTGGGTGGGACCCCCGGTTAATCTAATACCCCATTTGGGATTTTGTTTTTCCCTTTCCTGGCCCAGGTTCAGGCTCCTGGGAAGATGCAGCTCTGCTGACGGAGGCCAACCTGCCTGCTCCTGCTCCTGCTCCTGCTTCTGCCCCTGTCCCAGAAACTTTGGGCAGCTCCGAACCCGCTGAGGGTGCTCTCCGACAGCGCCCCACCTGCTCTAGTTCCTGAAGGGGCAGACTCCTCACATTCCAGCACTTTCCTACCTGACCCCTCTTCCCTCGTTTTTCCTTCAATAAACTATTTTGTGTCAGCTTCCTCCTTGACTTTGAAATGGATTCACAGCCATTTGAAAAGCCTGTGTCCCCCAGACATCTCTCACTTTCCACCATTAGAGGAGAGGTCTTCTTGTCAAGGGCTGCTCATGGGGAAGGCCTCCAGACCCGGGCTATTTTAAGCACAGATGTTTCCATTCATAAGCCTAGGAAGTCCAAGGAGGGAGAAGCTATCCTGGCCCCTAGCAAGCTTCCTACTCCCTGCATGTGACTTTCATCTCCCCCAGGGGAGGGGGCTGGGGTAGGGCAGGTCTGGAGAGCTGGGAGACATCATTCTGGCCCCCTCTATACCCCTCCCTTCCTCCCTTTCTCTGTCCATTGGGAGGCAGAAGACAGGAAATGACTGCCATGGATGTGGTATGATTTTTACCAAAACAGCATTTTGCAGCTCAGGCCCGTGCTGTTTGCAGCTGTTTTCCTCTAATACTAGCCAGGTGGCCGCCTCCTATGTTCCCCTCCCCATCCCTTCGTATGACTTCAGCCTTCAGATTCTAAGCGCCTGGCTGCTTTCCACATTCCATTCCCCTCCAGAACCCAGGCATCCTGGGCTCCAGCTGAAACCATTGCATGTGGTTTTCCCGATCCCTGGCCCCGTGACTCAGTCCCTCTGAAGGGAGCAGCCCTCTTTTTTGGCAATCACCGGGGAGGTGGGGGGAGGAGGAGGGGAGCTAGGTGGTGACATCACAGTCAAAGGTTATAAAAGCTTCCAGCCAAACAGCATTGAAGTTGAAGATAGAACCTGACAGCACAGCCTGAGATCTTGGGGATCAGCTTAACACCCACAGACATCGGCTGGTGGATTCCCGCTGCATCAAGGCCTACCCACTGGTGAGGAGCTGCTATGGGCCAGAGAGGAGGAGGAGGAGGGCAGGCAGGGGCCAGGACTCCTTGGACAGGATTTGCACAGATAGCAGGTGGGGAGGGAGGATTCCAGCGTCCCTATTTTTTTCTCATTTGTTTAAAAAAAATGCGGCTGTGCTTACAATATTTCTCTCTACTGTTCTGTTTTCTCACTTCTGTCTCATTTCTGGGTTTTTGCCTGTGTCACTGACAGATACATGTTTTTGTTGAGTTGAGGTCTCACTCTGTCACCCAGGCTGGAGTGCTGTGGGGTGATCATGGTGCACGGCAGCCTTGAACTCCTGGGCTCAAGTGATCCTCCTGAGTAGCTGGGACCATGGGCATGTGGACTATATTTTTAATATTTTTAAATTTTTTAATACTTAATTTTTAAATACTTTTTTTTTGTAGAGATGGGGTCTGTGTTGCCCCAGCTGTTTTGGAATCCTGGCCTGAAGCAATCCTCTTGCCTTGACCTCCCCAAAGTGTTGGGATTATAGGCATTCCCAGCTTTGTTACTTGTTTGGCTTAGATCTTTTCTCTGGGTGGCAGCTAGTAAATATCCTACCGTTCTTCCCTAGGCTAAGTAAATCATTTCCTCCTCTCCCCCAGCGCTTTATTAACTGTTTCTAATACTTAACACATGCTGGTCATGTATCTGTCTCCTGTCAGGCCATGTTTTCTTTTTTGTCTAAAACCAAGCACATAGCCTGGACTCAGAAGTTGGTTGACAAATAAGTGTGTCCGCCTCATTCCAACCTCTTTCCTCTTCTGGTCCCCAGTTGCATTTTCCTGTCCAGACAGAGGACATGGCAGGCTTTTGGGCTGAACAGGCTTTATCTAACCACCCCTTCCCTTCCAGTCTCCATGCTGGGCTCTCCCTGCCTTCTGTGGCTCCTGGCCGTGACCTTCTTGGTTCCCAGAGCTCAGCCCTTGGCCCCTCAAGACTTTGAAGAAGAGGAAGAAGATGAGACTGAGACGGTGTGGCCGCCTTTGCCGGCTGTCCCCTGCGACTACGACCACTGCCGACACCTGCAGGTGCCCTGTAAGGAGCTACAGAGGGCCGGGCCGGCGGCCTGCCTGTGCCCAGGACTCTCCAGCCCTGCCCAGCCGCCCGACCCGCCGCGCATGGGAGAAGTGAGCATTGTGGCCGAAGAGGGCCGCGCAGTGGTCCACTGGTGTGCCCCCTTCTCCCCGGTCCTCCACTACTGGCTGCTGCTTTGGGACGGCAGCGAGGCTGCGCAGAAGGGGCCCCCGCTGAACGCTACGGTCCGCAGAGCCGAACTGAAGGGGCTGAAGCCAGGGGGCGTTTATGTCGTTTGCGTGGTGGCCGCTAACGAGGCCGGGGCAAGCCGCGTGCCTGAGGCTGGAAGAGAGGGCCTCGAGGGGGCCGACATCCCTGCCTTCGGGCCTTGCAGCCGCTTTGCGGTGCCGCCCAACCCCCGCACTCTGGTCCACGCTGCCGTCGGGGTGGGCACGGCCCTGGCCCTGCTGAGCTGTGCCGCCCTGGTGTGGCACTTCTGCCTACGCGATCGCTGGGGCTGCCCGCGCCGAGCCGTCGCCCGAGCAGCAGGGGCGCTCTGAAAGGGGCCTGGGGGCATCTCGGGCACAGCCAGCCCCACCTGGGGCGCTCAGCCCGGCCCCTGGAAAGAGGGGAACCCGCTGCCTCCAGGGAGGGCTGGACGGCAAGCTGGGAGCCAGCCCCAGGCTCTAGAGCCACAGCAGAGTCATGGTTCTCTGGGCTGAGCGCTTGTTTAGGTCCGGGACTTGGCGTTTTGTTTCCTGGCTGAGGTCTGGGAAAGAATAGAAAGGGGCCCCCATTTTTTTTTTTTTTTAACGGTCAGATAGTAAATAATGTAACCTTTGCGGTTTAAGAGGATAAAATGGAGAATATTATGTGGGTATTTATATGACCTTTGTAACCATTTAAAAAGGAAAAACCACCCGACATAGTAATGAGAACCTAGAGTAGCAGCTACTCCGGAAGCTGAAATGGGAGGATCTCTTGAGCCCAGGAGTTTGAGTCCAGTCCAGCCAGGGCAACACAGCCAGATGCCCTTGTGTTTTGTTTTGTTTTGTTTTTTGAGAAGAAGTCTCCCTCTGTCACACAGGGTGGAGTGCAATGACACAATATATGTTGGTTCACTGCAACCTCCACCTCCTAGGTTCAAGTGATTCTCCCGTCTCAGCATCCTAAGTAGTTGGGGTTACAGGTGCCCACGACCATGCCCGGCTAATTATTGTGTTTTTTTAGTAGAGATGAGTTTTCACCATGTTGGTCAGCCTGGTCTCAAACTCCTGACCTCAGGTACTCCACCCACCTTGGCCTCCCAAAGTGCTGGGATTACAGGCGTGAGCCACAGTGCCCAGGCAGATCCCCTTCTTTAAAGATGTAAAATCATTCTTAGTCCGTGGGCCTAACAAATCAGGTCACTGGCCCATTGCTTGTAGTTGATCCATATCATGCACCCTCAAAATAGCTCTGTCAATGAGTGTCTTCAGTGGGATTCTGAGAATAAATTTATATTCTTGCTAGGTAGAACAAAACAAAAACGACAGTAATACCAAGGAATTTCTCATCCCTTTTTTCACTCCATTTGTATTTATTGCATATCCACTGTAAAAACATTAAAGGATCTTTAAAAGAAAGTAATGTTTATTGTTTACGATTCTTTTCAAATACTGTCCACACACCCACTTTTCAGAATAGTATACATACTTCTGTCGCCCAGGCTGGAGTGCAGTGGCACGATCTTGGCTCACTGCAAGTTCTGCCTCCCAGGTTCAACCCATTCTCCTGCCTCAGTCTCCCAAGTAGCTGGGACTACAGGCACACACCACCATGCCCAGCTGATTTTTGTATTTTTTTTTTTTTTTTTAGTAGAGTTAGGGTTTCACCATGTTGGCCAGGATGATCTGGATCTCTTGACCTCGTAATCTGCCCGCCTTAGCCTGCCAAAGTGTTGGAATTACAGGCCTGAGCCACCGCGCCTGGCCTTGAATTTTTTTTTAATTAAGTGAATGCAGGAGTCTGTTTTGTGTTACTACACAGTATAATCCTCATCTGTGTGGATATTTATTTATTTTATTTATTTATTATTATTATTATTTTTTGAGACGGAGTCTCGCTCTGTCACCCAGGCTGGAGTGCAGTGGCTTATCTCAGCTCAATGCAAGCTATGCCTCCCAGGTTTACGCCATTCTCCTGCCTCAGCCTCCCGAGTAGCTGGAACTACAGGCGCCCGCCACCACGCCCGGCTAGTTTTTTGTATTTTTTTAGTAGAGACGGGGTTTCACCGTGTTAGCCAGGATGGTCTTGATCTCCTGACCTCGTGATCCACCCGCCTTGGCCTCCCAAAGTGCTGGGATTACAGGCATGAGCCACTGTGCCTGGCCTTCCTTAGTGTTCATTTATTTACAAATAATGAGAGGTCATATTATATCATTATTATTACTATTTATTTATTTCATTTTCTGAGATGGAGACTCTGTCTCAAAAAATAAATTAAATAGGCCTGTAATTCCAGCACTTGGGAAGGCCAAGACAGGGATGGCTTGAGCTCGCAAGCTTGAGACCAGCCTGGGCAACATGGCGGAACCCTACCTCTACTATAATAAAAATACAAAAGTTAGCCAGGCGTGGTACATGCTACTTGGGAGGCTGAGGTGAAAGGATGGCTTGAGCCTGGGAGAAGGAGGTTGCAGTGAACCAAGATTGTGCCACCACTCTCCAGCCTGGGCAATAAAGCCAGACCTTGTCTCAAAAAGAAAAACCACTTCTCCTTTTATTTTTTGAGACAGCCTGTCACTCTGTTGCCAGGCTAGAGTTCAGTGGCACAATCTCGGTTCACTGCAAACTTGCCTCCCAGGTTCAAGTGATTCTCCTGCCTCAGCCTCCCAAGTAGCTGGGACTACAGGTGTGTGCCACTACGCCTGGCTAATTTTTTGTATTTTTAGTAGAGATGGGGTTTCACCATGTTAGCCAGGATGGTCTTGAACTCCTGACCTTGTTATCTGCCCACCTCAGCCTCCCAAGGTGCTGGGATTACAGGCGTGAGCCACCATGCCCAGCCAAACAAAACCATCTTTCTGACTCTTTTTTTTTTTTTTTTTCTTGAGACAGAGTTTCACTCTTACTGCTCAGGCTGGAGTGTAATGGCATGATCTTGGGTCACTGCAACCTCCGCCTCCTCGGTTCAAGCAATTCTTCTGCCTCAGTCTCCTGAGTAGCTGGGATTACAGGCACCTGCAACTATGCCCAGCTAATTTTTACATTTTTTTAAGCAGAGATGGGGTTTCACCATGTTGGTCAGGCTGGACTCGAATCCCTGACTTCAGGTAATCCACCTGACTTGGCCCCCCAAAGTGCTAGGATTACAGACATGAGCCACCATGCCTGAGCTAGAGTCTGTTTTTTTGTGACTAAAAATAGTTTCTACATCATAGGGATTGTTGTGATGATTAAATATGGATTAATCATAAAAAAGTCTCTAGTAGGCCGGGCGCGGTGGCTCACGCCTGTAATCCCAGCACTTTGGGAGGCTGAGGCAGGTGGATCACCTGAGGTGAGGAGTTCAAGATTAGCCTGGCCAACATGATGAAACCCCTCTCTACTAAAAAATACAAAAATTAGCCAGGTATGGTGGTGGGTGCTTATAATCCCAGCTACTCGGGAGGCAGAGGCATGAGAATTACTTGAGCTTGGGAGGCAAAGGTTGCAGTGAGCCAAGATCCCACCACTGCACTGTAGCCTGGGCGACAAAGTGAGACCATGTCTCACACACACACGTCTCTAGTGAATATATTACCAATATCAGTAACTGTTACTGTCATTATTACTCTACCTTCTAATAAACATTTGAAATGAGCTTCACTTTCAGGAATCTAACAGCCCAGGTAGTGGTGGAGCACAAAGTAATCAACAATGACTCACAGCAGCCAGGATAAATGCTTAATGGGTTAAATACTGTAGCTAGAAGGCAGAGAGCAGTGGTCAAAGCAGGCTTTTCTTAGAAGGCAAATCGTGAATCCTGAAAAACTCCTGGGAGTTAGTTTACTAAGTGGAGAGACAGGACATCCTAGGCATAGAGACTGGTTGGTGCCCAGGCCAAGAGGAGGGTGGTCTGGTTTGCAATATGCACAGCTTACCCTCAAGTGGTGGGCAATGAAACTGAACAACAACAACCAGCATTTACATACTCTGCCTTCCCAGGCACCAAGGTAGGTGCTATTGTGATCTCCACTTGAGAGGGGGCTCTAACCCCCTCCCCCCAAACAAAGCCGGGGTAGGGGCAGAAGGAAGTCAGACTACTAGCATTTAAATTGTCCTAGATGGCCGAGTATGGTAGCTCATGCCTTTAATCCTAGTACTTTGGGAGGGCGAGGCAGGTGGATCACTTGAGCTCAGGGGTTGGAGACCAGACTGGCCAATCTGGTGAAACCCTGTCTCTACAAAAAATAGAAAAATTAGGCTGGGTGAAGTGGCTCACACCTGTAATCCCAGCACTTTGGGAGGCCGAGGTGGTTGGATCATGAGGTCAGGAGTTCAAGACAAGTCTGGCAAAGATGGTGAAACCCCGTCTCTACTAAAACTATGAAAATTAGCCAGGCGCGGTGACAGGCACCTGTAATCCCAGCTACTCAGAGGCTGAGGCAAGAGAATCCCTTGAACTCAGGGTGAGCCGAGGTTGCAGTGAGCTGAGATTGTGCCCCTGCACTCCAGCCTGGGCTACACAGTGAGACTTTGTCTCCAAAAAAAAAAAAAAAAAAAAAGAGAGAGAAAAGAAAAGAAAAATTAGCCAGGTGTGGTGGCATGTGCCTGTAGTCCCAGCTACTTGGGAGGCTGAGGTGGGAGGATCACTTGAGTCCAGGAGGCTGAGGTTGCAGTGAGCCAAGATTGCACCACTGCACTCCAGCCTGGGCGACAGAGCCAGATCCTGTCTCAAAAACAAAAACAGCTGGGCGTGGTGGCTCATGCTCGTAATCCCAGCACTTTGGGAGGCCGAGACAGGCAGATCACTTGAGGTCAGGAGTTGGAGAACAGCCTGACCAATATGGAGAAACCCCATCTCTACTAAAAATACAAAAATAGTTAGCCTCTTTGGCTCACGCCTGTAATCCCAGCACTTGGGGAGGCCGAGGCAGACGGATCACTTGAGGTCAGGAGTTCAAGACCAGCCTGTACAACATGGTGAAACCCGTCTCTACTGAAAATACAAAAATTAGCTGGGCATGGTAGCAGGCACCTGAAATCCCAGCTACTCAGGAGGCTGTGGCAGGAGAATCGCATGCACCCAGGAGGCGGAGGTTGCAGTGAGTCGAGATTGCTGCGCCTCTGCACTCCAGCCTGGGCGACAGAGCAAGACTCCCTCTCAAAAAAAAAAAAAAAAAATTAGCTGGGCGTGGTGGTGGGCGCCTGTTATTTCAGCTATCCGGGAGACTGAGACAGGAGAATTGCTTGAACCCGGGAGGCGGAGGCTGCAGTGAGCCGAGATCGCGCCATTGCGCTACTGCACTCCAGCCTGGGCAACAAGAGTGAAACTCCATCTCAAAAAAAAAAAAAAAAAGATTAAGTTGTCCTAGATGGTGGAAGTGTCACGGAGTTTTAAGCAGGGAGGTGAGGACAGGATTAGATCATTGTGTTTTGCAAAGATCCCTTTGGCAGTCAGGCAGAGGATGGCTCAATTCCCCAGAGAATGAGCGGCCCAAAGAGCAAGTACATTTCTTCGGCTCCTGGCAAACATTGCCAAAGAACTTCCCAAAGCGTTGCGCTAAGGGACCATATTCCTTCTAATTTCTAAGGAGGGTGAGGCAGGATGAAGCTCCGGGAACTGGCTTCATTCCGCCCACGGGTTTCAGAGCCGCACCAGCTTTCTTCCCCACAGCAGCCCGGAGCCTTGGCTTGGTGGGTTGCCTCCCCGTTCCCGCCCACATAAAGTCCTGGCAGCAGTGCCAGAAGTTTTCTGGTTCTCAGCGGCACCCGTCGACGTCCGCCCCCACGTGACCCAAACAGATCCGGTACTTCCGCTTCCCCTCGGCTTTCTTCTCGTTGGTGTCCCTGGCTGCTATAGAGCCGGGTCAGAGAGCGAGCGCCCGTCCGCGGGCGTCGAGGGCGGGTTGCCTCGCGCTGACCCTTCCCGCCCTCCTTCTCGTCACACACCAGGTGCCCGCGGAAGCGGCGGTGTCGGCGCCATGGCGGAGCTGACGGCTCTTGAGAGTCTCATCGAGATGGGCTTCCCCAGGGGACGCGCGTAAGGGAGTTCCCCAACCCCTGCCTGCGGGGGTGGGGGGCCGCGGACCTGTCCCGGCCTTTGCGCCAGCCTGACGGTCACCATGGCTCGTGGGCGCTATTCTTGGTGTTTCTGCCCCCAGGGAGAAGGCTCTGGCCCTCACAGGGAACCAGGGCATCGAGGCTGCGATGGACTGGTGAGCGCTCGTCCTGGGTGGCGGAGAACTGGGGGCTAGCGGAAGGGGCAGCCTCAGAGCTAACTTCCCCGCCGACTTTCCCTGCCAGGCTGATGGAGCACGAAGACGACCCCGATGTAGACGAGCCTCTAGAGACCCCCCTTGGACATATCCTGGGACGGGAGCCCACTTCCTCAGAGCAAGGCGGCCTTGAAGGTCCTGACTGAGGGACACCGTGTGATTATCAGG